TAGAGATCATTTTAATCCAGCCTCCCTGCCGCCAGGGACGCCACCTGTCGGCTAGATCAGGCAACACATGGGGACAGTTGATCACCTCAAACTTCCAACCTTAATTGACTAAAGATAATAGTATTTTTTCCTGTTTAATTTTGTAAAAATAACACCGTTTAACATATTATACTCTGGAAAATAGTGAAATGCTGACTACGCAGGTTTCTTCATTAGCACTGACACTGGTAAAAATAAATACAAGCACACGTACCACCACAAATTTCTATGGTCATCATGATTTGAGGCCCGTACTGCTTATGAAAGCCTCTTTTTCTATAGGAAGACAACTATAAATTCCATCAAAGTCAGACTTCATGCAGGAAAGGTCACAGCTAGCTTGCAGGCTTCGCTGAGCATTCAGAAATCCCACAGTTCTGCATGTGATATTTAGTACTTCAGTATCCTCATGGTTTGGACACTGTGCAGCTTGCACTGAACTTTCCAGTGGACCCTATTCAACATTTTCAACTACTAAAAGTGTAACTGAAAATTACCTGAAGTCCCAACCCTCTTTTGTTCAAGAGTAGCTTCAGTAGCTGTGGCAACAGGGGACAGGCAATATTGGCAATAACAGCAGGCACTTGCCTCCCACAAACAATCGTAATACTGGAGAGGAAAAAACATTCATCCAGTACAGGAATAAAAAACCCTCAACTCTTCAACAGCTAAATAGTAAGAATGCTGTTATTATTATTCACATTACATTTACATGTTGCTCTCTGCCCTGTAGGCAAAGACTCCTTCAGGGAATACCCTGGTTTTCTCTTGATCTCTCCAGCACTGGGATTCCCAGTCTGAAAGTCAGCACTTACTTCAAATATAGGTCCAATGTCAATAACCTAGAGGTATATGACTCACGCAATAACATTTATTATATATATTAATCACCTTTATACTGGCAATAGGCTTTTATTATCAATCAATTAATCAAAGAACTGAACTATTTTGGGATGGCCAGTCTCTAAGCAGTGTGATACAGCCACAGCTTCTTTCTGCCAGGTGTGGGTACCTAAAGACTGCGTCATGTTCATAGAACTGGTCTGTTTTGTGGTACCTTTAAATCAGGAAGCCAGTGTAGCTACTTCAGGTCAGCACAGCTGGATCTCATCTTAGCTTATTCTTCTGTCTCAACTCTTCTGACCCAGAAGCAACACTATGCATTTATGTCAGGCTACAAGCATTTTCTTGTCTCCATTCAAGAAAACTTTGTTAGCATCCCTGTTGTGATCTAGGTATTAAGGGTACAGTCATGAAAAGTTCATCCAACAGATCAGTTTTGTTTCATTTATTTATAAATATATTACAGACTGATAAAGTCATATCTGACAACATCTTTCAGCAATTTCCAATCTACCGAAGTTCATGATATTGCAGACGAGCAGTATCACGCACTTATGGAGTTAAATAAGAACAGATGCATTGTTCTATAGTATGTATTCGCATAGTATGTACTCATTGAAGGCTTCTGCTCTCAGGGACACTGGGAGGCTGGGATGTGACCTTTGCAGATCAGCCAGCCCTGAGTGCCACAAAACAGGAAAGCCCGGATTGGCATATGCTACAAAAAAATGATGACAGAATAAGGCCAACCCACGAAGTAAACAGATAACTATCAACTCTACACACACTATACAGAAAGGATTGTGGCAAAAAGCTGACCATACTCCTGAAGGCTTATTAGTTCTTTGGGTTAATCACTTGCATCACAAAAAAAAAAAAAGTCCTAAAATCTGATCAGCTGCACCTTTTTTTCAGCCAGTGTACTGCTGCCTAACAAGCCTGGCTGCTTGACTTGCCATCAGTTCCTCAGTTAACATCCAAAATTTTAATTAATTTCCTCCAAAGTAGAATTTTTTTTTACAAGTTCAAACTTTCCCTTCATTTCCAAAGAAAAAAAACACAACAGAAATAAAACATTTTCTGTAGAACACTGCTGCTCTACTGTTCAATGGTAGATAGTCAAAATGCAGTTATATTCTCATTTAAATGCATGTCCTCATATCTCAGTCAAGGTGTTACTTTACAGTGAGTTTCCTTACTACTTTGTTATTTCTTGAGAGGAATAACAAGACAAATCCATCATCTTCACTGAAAAGTCTGTATCATCATTTATCCCTTCTAGACTATTCCCCAGAAATGTTCTGATCCACCACCACACTTCACAGTCACATCCTGAAGTAAAGATAGGAATGAGTGGCGTAATTGAGCCGTATTGATATTACAGTTAATAATCCTTAAGTAAGTCACCTTCTTGTTTTGCACAAATAACAACCATTTGCTTTTACTTCAGTCACCATAACATCAGGAGAAATCTTCCAAGAAGCACCAGAAAGAGAAGGTTTGTCTACAGACCCTACTGTCACACAAAGCAGCAGCCAGCTCTGACTGAGACAGCTTTGCAAGGGGAAGCCTCAGCACGGCCTGGGCTCCCCTGCACCTCCTCAAAGCCAGTTGGTGCACCTCTACACACTACCGGTGGGTGACATCCTTCATAATATTGATGCTGAAAAGAAGATCGTGCTTTTACCGCAGTACTGTGGTAAAGCTAATCCATTGTTTGGAAAGAAGGTCTCAGATTTCAAGGAACCGAGGTCAGAGGTTTCTCTGCCTTGTCTCTAAGTCTCTTTCATCATCTCACTGGTCTCCATGTGTTGGGACACCGGTTTCTGTTCTTCAGGACAACTTTGTTCACATCAGAAACTGCAGCACAAGGACATTTCTCTTCAATCTTTGAAAGAGGGATATCCACACTTCAGTACAACTCTGTTGCTCATGTGCCTGTGCTCCCAGGACCCAGAAATGGTCCTGTGGCTTTTCTTCTCAAAATCTCCCATATTCTCCTTCTCCCGAGTCACCTCTATTCCTTCAACACACAGCAGGATTGCTACATTAACAGATGAAAAAAGGAGAATTACATGCTGTAGCTCTCCCCATCTCCTTGCCTGAACACCCATCAGTGCTCCTGACTTCACGCCTGTCCCTAGGTATTTTGGCGTGACTATGGTGCTGCTGTTCTGCCCTAGAGAACTGTGGGGAGTGGTGCCGACCCACTGTGACAAGCCCACAGACCCTCAAGTCTGGTGAATGAAGAACACCAACCAAAGCAACGCGGGCAATTTGGATGCAGCACATGGCGCTCAGGTCCACCATGTGCATTTCTGGGGGGTTTGGGTAGGGCAGGCTGACCTGAGCTGCCACCTCAGCTGGGAGCTGAGCTCAGTATAGCCAGCGGCTCCCTCCCCTGCTCTCCTCCCTCTGAGCTCCAGTTTCTTTCTGCTCTCTGGCTGCAGCAGGGCTTGGCTGGCTTCGCTCCACACCGCTGGGAAACAGCGTGTACCTTGTCTAGTCAGCTCCTCCAGAGCCACCTCTGAGCTCAGGTAGCGTTTCCAAAAAGAAAGGTAGCAGAGGGGTCCTGATTCTCAATTAGCAGAGCGGGTATCCTCACCCACCAGACCAGTGTTGTTGCCAAAGGCATCGGCAGCAAAAAGGAGGCAGGCAGGTATTTTAGGCAGAAATGAGACTGCATGTGTTGTCTATGAGGAATTTTCTCTCTGAAATTATTTCTTTTTTTTTCCCTTGAGAATCAATGGAAGCCATCAGAAAAGAAATAATTGCAAGGCAGATCTAATCAGAGAGATACTGATTTATTTGCACAGTTGTATGTAATAATTAAGCTGTGTGTGTTTTAGCCGACTACCTGGGAGACACCCTGCAGAGTGTAACACTTTGGAAATATATATTTAAGCAACATGGTATTACTTTATTACATTTGAATGAAAATATAGAGCCACTATTTGCTGCAGGTACTTTAGCAAAACTCTTTCTTAGCAGTTTCTGAGAACAACTGGGACTACTCTTTAGCTTGAGTAGTGTAGTTACTTCTTTTTTTTTACTACAGAATGGTTTTAGTAAAGGATAACTGTAAAAAAATTACTGACTGCTTTAAAGTTAGTACTGACACGGCTTTAACTCAGAGCCAAGACTATTTGAAACATTAAGTTTTTAATAGGCTAATGTTCAATTAACTAGATATATTTCCTTCCAAAGAAATGTATTTAATAGTCTATCTCACAGGATATATCAGCCATTTATTTCTAAAAAAGACTATATTTTAAAAGATATAATTCTATACCAGTCAAATATAGCCCTGAACAATTAGTCTGTGTTTATTAAAATTATGGTGGTTTTATAAAAAACACGGAGGGGAAAAAAAACATGGGAGGCATTAAGAGAAGAGGGAGTTTACTTTGTATACCTTATAGAAACCTGTCCTGTTGGTGCCTGTTACAGTATATAAAGCATAAAATTCTTACAAGAAAAAATAATCAAAAGATGGAGTTTTGCTGATTGCTAACTGAAAAAATCTGTAAGAAAATCATATACACAGGTCACCATTACAGGCTGCTTTTACTCCTCTGAGCCTCTGATAGAAGGGAAAATGCATTGAACATAAAACAGCAGAGTCTCACATATGCTACCAAAAAGTCTTTCTCCTCCCAGGACATTTATCTCTACCAGTCAGTCTATTTATGCAGCAAAACTACATGTAAGTATCCCAAAATAGCTCATGCAAACTATAGCGTTATTTTACCCTCCAGCCTCCAGAACTGCAAGCTTTATTTTATAACTTATTTCCTGAAATAAATGTCCTGAAGATTTTTAGAAGGTACCTGTAAGTGCAAAGACTGAATCTGACTACCGAATGGGAAAAATACATGTAATGTGTTAAAAAAACATATGTAGTGAGTTGTCATTAGAAAATTTCTACACACAGTATTGTACAAGAAAAATCTAAATAGTACTGTTTCTTCCTATTAACTGTGAAGCTCAGCAGCTGAACATCTTCAATAACCATGCAAAATCTACGAAGTCAAAATTAAAGCCTATGACTTTCTTGGGACATGTCTGTGAGTCATAATAGGAATGGGAGCTTGAAAGAAACAAATCAAACACATTACCACATTGTGTCGGCAGTCCTTAAGGAGCTGGTAGATCGGGATCTTGGCTTCATAACAATGCTCATTTTGAAAAATTCCTTCAGTAGTTTTATCAGTCAAACATCAGTTGTCCTTAAAAAGCTCATTCTCAAAGAACTCCATTTCGAAGCATTTTTAAAATCCTCTTCTTTTTAAAGCCCCTGAAATCCATCTCCTTTAATAATCCACGCTGTGGAGGAAGAACTCTAACATGCTGCAACTCCTTCCTTTTTCACGCTGAATTTACTCTAACACTGTGCTGTTCGGAAATGACAGTGCTTTTCTCTTCTGTCTTGTATTGCCCTGGGAGGAACTAGCCTATTTTGAATCTATTCTCCCTGCAGGTCACATGGGAATGAAGGCAGCTGAAAAGAGTCTCTATCTCTTTCTTGCAGTTTGATAACAACAGGTTTAAAGGTCAATCACATTTTTATTTTATTTTTTTTTTAAAAAAAGAAAAACAATACTGGTGGATTACCCATGAAAAGATGAATGTAAGTTACAGTAACACTAGTGAGTTTGCAGGGAATTTCCACTTAAAGACATGCTAGATAAATTAGTCTCTGTGGAATAAAGAAAGGAACAAAGATTTTTCATTCCAAGTTAACTAAAAGCCCTACCTAGAAACGTAATTATTTTCTCTCTTTTTCTCTTAACCCTTGCCTAGATACTGTCAGTAAGTACTGTTGTCTAACTTCACAAAACTGAAAGTATTCCCTGTCTGAAAAACTTTTTTTTTGAAGTTGAGTAAAAATAAAATTCCTCATTGACTGTTTAAAGTCAAACACAGATACAGACAGCTATTGTTATAAATCACTGAAGGACAAAATACCTCAGTTAAAGAACTCTAACGTTCTCTTTACTGTACTGCAGAAAGAGATCTTTTCCTGTTACAATAAATTAATAGTTTATGTGGTACAAACAAACTTGCATTTATGGTTTCTAGCCATGAAAATTACCATAAAAGGTTTGAGAGTTAATTTCTTTTAGGCAATATTAGCGTAAGCATATTTGGCAATTTCAGCATTAGAAGAGGAAAAAATAGCAGAGAACTGCATAGTGAATATACCATTTAAACTATACGTTTTGAATTTGCTCTGAATTGTGTTGGAATTTTTTAAACTGAAAGAGCAAAGTTACTGCTCAACAAGTAGTTACATGCATAATAGCCATTCCTTTGTACAGTCTTTATAAGTGTTGCAGTATGTTATTTTGATAGTAGTGCAGCTAGGTTAATAATGAAAGCAAGCACTAAAAATTGTATTTATAAAATTTATATAGACTCAGCAAATAGAAGGAAAACATGATAAGCAGGTTATGCATTAAAATATCAAAAAATTCATCAAATAGGAATGTGCATAAAGTGCATAACCCTCTCTAGAACCTTTGCACTTTATTTTACAACAGTATAATAAAATGCATTACCAACTACATTGTGTATCAAGAGAAAAGATCCTAACTGCCCTGGAGGCTTCTGCCAGTCATCTGCATATAAACTGTTCCACAACAGCAGAAGGAATGTTAATGAGGTTTCTTGCTAAGCACCCTGTTCTTCATGTTTTCTCCCACCTATCTTTCAAATATCACCTAATGGTTAACGCAGGACCTTTTGTAAAGGTCTTGTGGAATTATAGAAGTTAACCTCAAAGAATGGAAAAAGCATCCATGATAAATTTAGCTCAAAGGGTCATACAGTCATGGGACCTTTAACAACAGTTGGGTCTGGCAGTGTGCAGGTCACAAGTCTGTAGAGGTGGACATAAATCAGGCACCGTGTTGTGAAACTTTTCTATTTTTTGAACAGATGGAACAGGCCATGAAGAAACACAAAAATCATGTGAAATAGACGTGCTGGGCTACTACAGATTAGCTAGCATACTAAAGTTTATTTTTATGTTTATCTGATTATTTATTATTGATAAATATTTCCAACGTTATTCCCACACCACTGAAAGAATGCAAAAGAAAAGATAATAAAACTTTTGACTAAGAGGTTTCATGGTACCATACTGGAACGGAATATTCAAGGACTCCTGCTGTGCTACACGTTAGACATCTGAGGATGGCTTGTTTTCAGAAGCGTATCAGTCAAGATACTGCCTCTTACTTGTAGTTATTAGAAATATAACTAGAAATAAATTGTATTATATATTAATATATT